TGTAATCTTCATAAAACTTTTAATAAAAAAAAATAAAAAAATAAAAACATTTATTTGCTCTAAGACAAGCTCGGTGATTGAGCAATCAATTACTGATATCATTACCTGGCCAGGTAATCAATCTGTGATGGGCCAGATGCTTTTTTTCACCACGGTTTGGCTTATTGATTGAACCAGGGGACCAGATCTGGGCTGCACAGATGATCCCATGATAGCAGTAAAAATATGCATATAATTCTAATATTTTGCTGTCATCTAGGGACTGTCCTGATTTTGTGGCAGCCCAGATCTGATCACATTTTTAAACCCATAATTTGCATCAGATCGACTGATTGACATTCAGTTCTAGAAACTAGGGAAGAAAGCTGAAGCTGTGAAAAATGGAAACGTCCCAAAGGGACCATGGATAGAGAAACTAAAAATACCATTTTCCCTGGGATACCTCTTGTTTTGTTAAGATATTCTGCCACTTGTGCACCTCTGTACTGATTTCCCAAGGGCTTCAAATAGGCAAATTTGCTGATTCAACCTGACCTTAACCTTGACAATGATACCCCAAGGATAAGCTGGCTTAATGGGGCCTGCCATTTTAATTAGCTTTCACTTTAGTTTTTAACTACCCACTCCCACTGTTCTGATAATTATGTTTTCAGGCTACCCTAGCATCTGCCTTTTTCCTCATCATAGTCTGGGTGAAAGAGTTTTAACTGACACTACATGATTCCCACGCAAGTCTCTCTCTCTCTCTCTCTCTCTCTCTCTCTCTCTCTCTCTCTCTCTCTCTCTCTCTCTCTCTCTCCCTCCCACTTGGGAGCTGCCAAAGTAACTAATCATTTGTCACCTAGCTAGAAACCAACTGAAGCAGTAACAGAGGGATGTGATGTTGTGGTCAAAACAATCTAAGGATCAAATAAGAAATGAAACCAATGAGCTTTTATAGATTGGCATCATGTTAGGTTTCTTATGCCCCCTCCTTTGATATATTCTATGGCACAGAATCTGCCCCAGAATTCCCTGAGGATGAGATAAAGTATCAGAAGAGGCTGGTGGGAAAATACACAGTTCTGGCTGGAAGGTGAAAGAGAAATGAGCTGCGGGGTGGGGGAATGACAACAACCAGAAATCATTGTTAGAAGCAGGCAGGTGTCCTGGAAGGAGGCCAGCTATGTGTGGCCCAAAAATTGTAGCTCTAGTTTTAGTTAGGGATGGGTAACTTCATTGTCGCCAGATCCCTGGAAATCAAAGTGTGGTGAGCATCAGCAATGTATTAGTTAGAAACGAAAAGTTTTCTTCAGTGAGATGAACTGATCCATAGCTTCATAAGCAAACTCTTAAAGTCAACATGGATTTCTTTGTCATATTTGTTAGCTTTAACGTCTGCTAGACATGTCTGTGGATTCTCCACTGATAATATGCCATTCTCAGTTTAGCTCTACTTAGGACAGATTTATCTAGTGTTACTATTTTATTTGTCAGTAGTCAACCTGTGACCAGTTGGGTCATTGTTTCAGAGATATTTTCTTACCTAAACAGAGAACAAAGGCAAAAAAAAAAAAGCAGTGGCAGTGACATCAACTTCCAACTTTTTGACAGCTTCCCTGTGGCTAACTACCCTCCAGCAGCTCATGGTAGGACTGGTCTACCTGGCCTCCAGAGGGCTAGGGTGAGATGAGTCTACCTGATCTCCATCTGCCAAAGAAGAGGCTGGTCTACCTGGTCTCTGGAGTGCTAGAACAGGACCCGGATACTGACCATCTGGGCAGCTGCATGGCAGCACTGAAGCAACCACAAATCTTCCAGATTTTAATCCCACAGTAGTCATGGCTCCTGGATTTTGGATGGATTCTATAAATTAGAACCAATATCTTGGTTCAAAAATTGTTGCCCTTTTACTGGTACCCCAAACTGCATTTGGTGAGGTGGTTGAGAAGGGAGATGGGATGTAGGAGGTAGAAAGGAGGAGGAAAGAGGAGAGGTTGTGGGTATAGGGGGAGGAAGGAAGAGGAAAGTGAATGAGGGTGGATGCAAGGCGGGGACTGCCGAGCATCCTCGAAAATATATTGAGTAGGATTACCTTTTTTGCTTGTGTACGTAAATTCATCATATCTGTACTATTTGTTGTTTAATTTAAAAAAAAATCAATAAAAATATTATTTAAAAAAAAATTGTTGCCCTTTTGCCCAGTTAAAGTTACAGACACAAGAGTTTTTATCATATATAGATGCTTTATGATATACTTTTAGCAAAGAGCACAGGTTTTCATTGTATCCCTTTTTATCCTCATAAAATGTATCATGCAGATTAGGCTGAGAGAGAAGATGAGCCCAGGACCACCCAATTAAAGGGTGGCCACATGCAATACACATAAACAAAGGGTAGAGGTTTGGTCACTGTCCCCATTTTGTCTCTTTTGACCCTTGGGTGCCCTTGCTCAGTGAACAAGAGTAAATTTTAACTCCTGTCCTCCCAATCTGTCCAAAACTCTCACTATCCTAATTCCTCTAATAATATATATTGGCTAAGGGTGACATTTAGCAGTAATCATCTCATAACATTTTTCATGTTTGTAATATTATGTCAGGGATATGCTCATGGGAAGATTATATCAAATAATTAAGAATTATCTCTAAGTAAACAAAGTGTGATTTCTAATAAAAATATCAGGTATTGTTAACTACTATTCAGAAAGGCCATTCTTGTATGATTGACTCCAGCACATATTTGAATACCTGCAAAGGAAGCAGTGGATCTTTCCTGCCATCTCTTAAAAGAAATATGGCATGCACAAGGGGATAAGAATGAGTTCTTTGTTGAGTTTGATAACATGCTGGGAAAGCAAGCAGACCAAGTAAGATACTGGTTGGTGCTCCTTTTTCTTGTCAAGAAGCAGTCAAAGTAAAGCCAAACTCGACATCAGTGGCGGTAAAAATGTGTAGACAAAATAATGGAATAAAAATATGGGTACATTTAGCATAATGATTCTTTTGATTTTCAAAATAAGAATTAGTGACCACGGCATTTATAGTTGATGAAACAGAGGAGGGGGCTTGTTGCTTTCCAGATGTTGCTGAATACCAGAAGTGCCTGCAAACCTGGCCAATGCTCAGCAACATTGGAAAGTGTACAGAGATTTCTCAATTTTATTTTGCAGCCACTTGCAAATGTGGCTACAGCAAATTGTCCTGACTGAGAAGAAGACAAAAGAGTTATTTCTAGGCCTTGTTTTGGAGTGACTCTGGATTGCTCCTCTGGAAATGGGTCAGTAAGGATTCTGTGTTCTGTCCAGCTCTAATATTCTGTTAGTAGTGTGAACAGGCTATATGTATGTCTATGGAGATTCTCAGTCATCCAGGTCATGGTTGTCCCAAAGGTGCTTTTTCAGAAGGCAACCGGACTTCCTTGGTTTTTCCTTGAAGATGTTTCATTTCTCATCCAAGAAGCTTCCTCAGTTCTTCATGGAAACGTCTTCAAGGAAAAACAATGAAAGTCCAGTTGCCTTTTGTTCCTAATCTCACAAACCAAGTTGTGAAAATGTAATTTATATATATACTCGTAGGAATGAGCAGCCTATAGGTCTCCAAATATTAATGGACTACAGTTTCTATGATTCCTTATGTTGAATATACTAGTTAGAGCAGATAGAAATCTGAATTCAGTAACATGTGATATTTTGGCACACAGTCTACAAAATGCACTGGAAATTAAATGTACCCTATCATTCTTCCTTTTTCTCTAAAGCTAGTATTCTTACACTTTCTTCTATTTCCTCTTTATTTTCTCCCAATAATTACAGGCTGTTCATGGAAATCTGATGAATCACTGATTCAAGAACAGAATCGGTAGTAGATAATTCTTGGTCTTAAGAAATTACTATTATGTATTTGATCATATTTTTACTTTAGATGCATCTTTACTCATGGAACCAGAGATTGAATTGATCTTATAACTATGCAGTTTGCTGAATTCATCCCGCAACACAATTCAGTTCTAAAACAGTTCAATTATACAAACATTTGAATTGTGGAAAAATACAACTTCAGTATCCATACAAGTCACCAAGTGTGCCCAAGTCATTAAAGCTTTGAGAACTTTCCAAAACAATAATAAGAATTAGTATAGCCAGCCAAGTTTAGACTTGTATTTTAAAACAGTTGTTGTACCAAGTGCTAATTATGAGCCAAAATAAATTGTTATATAAAAGTAACATTTTTTCAGGACTTATGTTTTGGTTTTAAAAATTATCTATCCTTCTTCAGACAGCTCATTCAACTACTGTGGCTGTCATATTTTGTAATGAACAAAAAGAATTAAAACAAAATTGGATATTCCATTACAGAATTTAAAATATCAGGTAAGAGAGGTATGAAACGTATCAGTGAATTCATTTTTAAAAGAAGTTTATTTGATTTCTAAACTAACAAAGCACCTCTCATGTGGATAACCAGAGGACTGGTGGATAGAATGGATCAATCTAGAACTAAGGAGAAATTTCCTGAGAGTGAGAAAAATCAACCAGTGGAATGGCTTCCCTTCAGGGGTAGTGGGTGCTCCATCACTGGAAGATTTTCAGAAGAGATTGGACAGACATTTGCCTGAAATGGTATAGGGTCTCCTGCTTGAGCAAGACTAGAAGACCTCCAAGGTCCCTTCCAGCTCTAATGATAATGATGATCCCATGTTTCAGGGTATGATACATAAAGTTTGCAAAAAAGTGTAGAAACTCTAGGGCATGGATGTCCAACTTTGGCAACATTAAGACCTATGGACTGCAACACCCAGAATTCCCCAGCCAGGCCCATGTCCACAGGCCTTCACACGTTGCCAAGTTGAACACTCCTGATCTAGGGTGAGCCCAAAATTCAATATAGTCTCTACAAAGCATACACTCTTCCAATGAAATGGAATGCTATTTCATTGGGGGTGGGGTAGATTGTATTATTCAGGAGAGAGATATGAAGATTTCCATGGTTACAATGACATATTATATTATTCCTCCACAGCTCATACACCGGATAATTCTTTCATGGGGTTTGTGTCAGAAGAGCTCAATGGGACTGAGAAGCAGTTTATTAAATCCAACAAGGCCAACAATATGGCAGTTGTCTATGGGAAGGAAGCCAGCATTTGGAAGGTGGGTTACATACATACATAAGCATTTCATCCCAACCATACAGTATAAAAAATGAAACTTTCCCAGTAATGATGAAACTCATTAATCCCTCACCACTGTTTGAAATGCCATTTATGTCTTTGAGGTGCATTGTCTATAAGGGTCTCGTGAAATAAGGAATGTAGCCTTTATCTCCTCAAATTGGCGTTCAGCCTACAGAGTGAATGTACACATTTTTCCCAGCCTGATCCAGCTTCCAGAGATAAAGAAGTGGCAAGGTGAAAATTGGCTCTGATTTTTGTTCCTGATTTTACATTGGAGGGCAATTGCTAAACCAAACCTGAAAACCTCTGTGGTATTAATGAGTAAGAATGATATATTTATGTCCAGCTCAACACTACACCAGTGAAATCATTTGTTTTACTGGGGTGGGGGGGTGGGGGGGAGAACCACCCAAATGTCATTGTCATTTTAAGCGTTGCAGTCTTGCAGAGTTTGGGAATCTCTTTCTAGGGAATCCCATCTTCAGACATCACATCTTGCATGCTAATTCTGCCCAATTATGGGTGCAGAATACATGGGTTTCTTTTTTCATACCAAACCCAGTGGCATGGTCTCACTCTTTGTTAAGGTCTTGGAGTTTTATATTTAGCCTGGGAAAATTATAACTATTAGATTGATTTTGTGACCGTCCAGACCTTAATCTTTGTTTATCTTAATTTTTATTCTTTGCACTACTTAATGTTAATAATGGCCCAGGGATGTTTATGAATGTCATAGGAAAGCAGGCTGCAGTTTTAAGTCATGCTGACATTCAATGAGAAATTTGCCCAGGAGGAGAAAAATTGGCATTCCAAGACAACCCTAAATTGACTGTTAAAAAACTGTATCTGGTGTTAATTTCATGTGAAGTTTCAATAGAAGGACAGGATTCTGAGTCTGCAGCCCAGAGATTTTCCTAGAATCCTTCAACCAAATACTATACTGGGGATCAGCTCCTTCAAATAGTTGGTTGTGCAGTATGGGGTGGATAGTACAACTGAGGGAAAGAAGCCATGATTGGTCTGACTCCTGGATGCAAAACTCATATGTTGAGGAAACAGACTGGCAATCAAAGCTTGCTTGCTTTATTTGTTTGTTTATGACATCAAAGTATTTTAATTTTCCTGCAGGAAGACAAGTCACACAGGTCAACTGACCATAGCAAGTATTTAGGTCATGAATTCCAGCATTAATGCTATAAGCTGAGATCAGATTCTGAGCTAATCACAACCTTTAAGGGTTCTACGTTCCACATTTGATCATTCAAGCTGACCTCTTCAAACATAAGTCATCTAAAACAGAGGTCCCTAACCTTTGGAGCACCAGGGACCGGTTCCGTGGAGAAAGGTTTTTCCATGGACCGGAGAGTGCGTGGTTTTGTGTGCTGCCTGCATTCCACAGATGGGGCTTTGCTTGTTTGTGTGGACCATTGCTGGCATGCTGCGGATCGGTTCTGGTCCATGGACCGAGGGTTGGGGACCCCTGATCTAAAACATTCATAGAATTGGTTCTGTTTTGTATTTGGAGACTATTTTTCCAGGGGAAGAGTGGTGACAGCTATGTTGCTGGCCTTTTCAAGAACGAAGAAGAATTTGCTATGGGCTGACTATAAATTCAGCTTATTTGGTGACCACCAGGCTGGGGGAAGCTAGATTTGATGGATGACTGTTCTGATCCACCAAAGCGCTTTACATGGTCATATAACTTGTATTTCACCATCTTGGAGCATTTTAGTTTGTTGTCTTTCATACACAGGAAGTCAATTTTGCCTCTTCTTGCTTCTCTCTCTGCGCCAACATGGATTTCCAGTTACAGGTACAGTAAGTCACAAATCATTTTAAACTAGATTTATGTTTAATATATTATAGCAGAACAAATAATGCTTTAATGCTTTTCATATGTAGATTATATGCATTTAAGTAACCATTTTCAAAATTTATTTTAATACGAATTATTGCAAAGTGAGATTTTGGATAATTCTTTAAAGTAACATTCATCTTGTTTTTTTTAGCAAGACAAATCATTTTGTTCTGATTGCTTTGGTACAAATGGCATTTGCTCAACACGCATACATTCTTTATAAAGGACACGGACATGGCAAGTTGTCTTTTTCTTCATGTTGCTTCCTCTCATTTGCTGCTGGTGTCTACTTTGCATATCTATGAAAAGGGTTATCTTCCCTCCTGTGACTACTGTTCCATTTTTCAGAGAAAACAATTATTTCTTCCCTAGGCAAAATCAAAGTGTGCGTAGTGAATTTTTAAAAGAAAGGGGTTTTTTATCCACACACGCTCTGGCAGAGACATTTTCTTCCTGCAAATCTGGCCCCTCCACAATTGGAGAAATCAGTTATGGCTCAGCCTGCATTTGCTCCTTACTGAAATCTCTAGGTGGCAAAAAGCTCTATTAAGTGGGCAGTGAAGAGCATCGTCCACAAACAGAAACTGCGGACTTCTTTGGAGAAAGTTCTTTCTCTCTTCCCACCATATTTATGACTCCAACCAAATATGCAACACATATTTTTACT